AGGATACGAATACAACCTTTCTATTTTATTAATAAAAAAAAAAGAAAAAAAAAAAAAAAGAAAAAAAATAAAAATCACGTATAAAAATAGATAACATTTATTTGTTGGTACGAGGATATAAGAAAATCACTTGTATTTTGCTAAAGAAACTGAGAAAAATTGTTTAAATAAAACAAATCGTATCTTTTCTCTCCTGCGTTATTGTTCTTTTAGTTATTTCTTTTTTATTTTATTTTTCGATGATTGTGGGGTATAAGGGTGGGGGGAGAGGAGTTACGTTTTGTTAAAAATTTATTAAATCTGTTATACCGACATTCTCTGTTATACCGATATCCTCTGTTACCGACGGGGTTAGATAAAATTTTAGACCAACCGTCGATAATAGTAGATGTAGGAACTTTCTCGCGCCATCTATTAGATCAATCGGAGTTATCGACATTTTTTCGATCGATCGAGCAACAAAAGAAAGAAAATGATTGCGCATGTATAGAATGCCTGCGTCTAAGGAAAGCACAGATAGACGTCGACCGTGTCGAGTTAGTCGGTTGTCAACGTTGTTTTTTAATCGAACAATGTATTTTAATTCAACGAGAGAAAAAAATATCGAAGAATTGTTTGGTTCCGATTATTCCGATGAGGAAGTCAACGACGTCAGGTGGGTGTAAAAGTTTTTCATTCGCGTTAGATATCAAACATGTGCCAGTTTTACGTAATTTCTTATGTTAGTTTCGGCATTAGTGAAATGAAGAAGCAACCGGCATCGTTATTCCCATTTCTTTCACAGACATTATGACGATCATTACTTTACTTTTTTTTTACATATTGAACATATATTTACGTCCAATGATATTTCCTTTTAACGATCATTTTAACGTTATTGTGAATGTCTTTATTCGACGATATAATGTGAATACATTGATATGGGTCCACGATATACAAGCAAGACAAATTATTTTCATGTATTATCGTTTGATATTCCTGTCGGATGTAGTGTTCTCCTTTTTTAACTGTCCAAGAATAACATCTTTCGACATCACACATTGTTCATGTATTCCCGCGTAATTCGAATGTCGTTGACCGCTTTAATTGAATATTTCGAGTATATTTCTCTCTTTTTCTCTCTCTCTCTTTCTCTTTCTTTCTCTTTTTCTTTTTTTTTCTTTTGAAATTTTCTTTAGTCATGTCAAACATTTCGTATAACTTTAATTGATTATTACGAAGGTTATAAAATCTTTTGAGAAATTTTCTGAGAGATCATTTTTATTTTCTAATCGAAATTCGATTTTCTAAATCTAGTTCTATTTGAAAGCATTCCATGAAATATTCTCCATGTAAAATGATCTTCTCATTCTCTTTAGTTATGCAATATTCCTGTTTTGTTCCTCTGTTAATAACCTGTCGCGAAAATGCGAGGGCTTGTGTAATCTGATTCCCATTTGCACAACGCTTCAAAGCGCAGGACTTGGCTTTTATATATGTATACGAATTAATCAGTTATCTAACGGTTGGTTACGATAAGAACATTAAGATTAACTTTATTGTGATAATTTCTACGCTTTTATTTTCCATCGTATCTCTATTACTATTATTATTATTATTATTATTATTATTATTATTATTATTATTATTATTATTATTATTATTATTATCATCATCATTATAATTATTATTCATTTTCATTTTTATTTAGATGATTATCATCTAAATGATCGGAAAAGTATTTTTCTGTGTTTTTTGTTTGTTTTTTGTTTTTTTTTTGGCGCCAATAAAAAGGCGGGATATTCAAATTGACAATTTCCATTTTATGTTGTTCTTGTTCTTTTCTTTTTCTTTTTTTTCTTTTCTTTTTTTTTTTTTCGTACGTTTTTATAATGTGACATTCCTTTGAATTTACGATAATTTTACAGAAAGAAAGATTTGTACAGTCCAACAAATGAATACGAAGAGTCGATACAGGCTATGTGTGATATTTATGGACAGACACCACCGAGAACACGTCTCAGTCGTAAGAAAAGGCACATGAAACAGAAATTGGCAATATGGTATGCCATTAATCAGTTTAATTAAACTCTTACAATTTGTATTAATTTATTTCGCGCGTATCTTTCTTTTTTTCTTACTTTTTTTTTTCATTCCTTTTTTATGTCTCAGTTTCTTTCTTTTTTTTTTTCTTTCTTTTTTTGCCTGCGTTTTTCTATTTCTATCCCTGCCTTTTCTTCTCGTCCAAGCGTATATGAATGAAAAGAGTATGTTATTTGTCCACATGAATCTTTTTTTTATCTGTCAAGTTTGCTACGACAAATATTGAAATAATTTCTATCCTAATGTACACATATGTAGGAATACGTTAGTAATGCATACCTAAATCCACCGGATTGTTCTGATGATAACGATTTAAAAAAATATCAAATCATATTTCTTATCAGAACGATACTCTTTGGTATTACTTTTTTTCTAGTTTGAATTTATCTAAAAACTCTTCCATTGTATATGTCTGAACATTTTTTTTTTTTTGCTTAGAATGGCCTTCATTAAATAAATATTATATTATAAATTTGTATGTCTTTCTCTCTCTCTCTCTCTCTCTCTCTCTCTCTCTCTCTCTCTCTCTTTTCTTTTTTTCTTTAATAAAAATTCATTTGTACTTAGAGTAGTTTTGGATGAATTAATTTTGTTTTATTTTTAGTGAGACAAAATCTTCGGAGAAAGAATATCGATCAAAAGTTGGTATTAGAAGGAGAAATACTTTGGATACGATTATCTTCAATGTAATGTGCGACGAGGCAGATAAATGTCGTGAAAATGAAGCGAAGGAAGAAATTGTTAATCGAAAATCTAAAAGAAGTTTGAAACTTTTACGCGGTAATGAAAGAGATTTGAAACTCGACGTTGAAGCTGCCCTTAATTATGCCGAAAAATCAGAACGTTTGATGCCATACACACCGAACAATATGAAAGTAATACTTATTTCTTTTTTATTATATATTTGTTCTTCTTCTTCTTCCTCTTCTTCTTCTTCTTCTTCTTCTTCTTCTTCTTTTTTCTTTTTTTTTTTTTTTTTTTTTTTTTTACAATATTTTTCTTGTCGCTTTAATAAAATCAATTTGTTGAAATATTTGTAGATTGAAACGAAAAATAGATTTCGTAGTTTAAGATCAAAGCCAATTGACGTTGAGGAGAAAAAACAGGAAACGAAAGGGATCCATTTGACTCTTTTGTCGGACGAAAAAGAAATTATATCGCAATCGCCAATGGCACAAAGTTATTCAGAGCGACAGACCTTTCATGATACATTTTCAATTCTTATTAAATTGGTATAGATTTTAGATGACGATTATAAAATTGATTAGGACATATTGATTAATATATTATAATATAATATTATTTTTAGGGAAGTACAGAACGTAATTGTCGTAGGCAAATGAGTCATGAAGAGACCCGATGGCAAAATGAATTGAAAGATTTGATTTGGTTGGAGTTACAGGCACATCATGCTGATCGTAGTCCAATGGCTCAAGATGAATATTTATGCAAACAACGAGAAGCAGTAGGCTCATTACTTAAAGAAATAATAGAATATAAGTAAATAGAAGATATTGCAATATTAATCAGTAATTTTTTTAATAATTTAAAAATGATTGTAATTTAATAATTTTTTTTTTTTTTTTTTTTAGATATAATCAAACTGTAGTAAATCATCCGGTTTCATGTTATTCAAATGATTTCAACGAACAGAGTGTAAATTCTGGTTCAGGTTCAGGAATAGAACATACTTTATGCTCTGGTTGTCTTTCAATGTATTGTCGAGCATGTGTACGTGCACAGGGAGAAGCCTTAAGACAAGTAGAAGGATTGTTAGCTCGATTAGAGGCTGCAGAAGCATTATATCCATCGTCTCAGGCATTTGCTGTTCATTATCCTTTATATAAGAGTCCAGAATTTACTGGAAGAGTTAAAGCTATGTGCCTATGGTATAATATGACTAAACATCATAGATTAAAATTACAGATTTTAGGAAAATTATTAATGATGCTTCATACTAAGAAAAAGCAAGATGAAACGTCTGATTCTGGGATAAGGTATTTTATTTTTATTTTATAAGGATTAAAGGATGTGAATTATAATAAAATAGATTATTTTTAGTTCTCGAGCTTCGGATATGACTGATGGTTCAGAACCACGACGAGCCATGATACGTTTTGAATTATCTCAACAAGATGAAATTTCAAATCCATCTGACAGTAACAATAGTAATACTTCGTCTCTTGGTGGAATGTCCTTGGCACAATCATGGCCATCTACTCCAGAATCTTCATTTTCATATGCTGATGATGAAAGACTCGATCGTCTTGATTTCTATTTAGTAGAATTTGATCGTCTTGCTTACAGGTATTGAAAATTATTATAAATTATTTCATATATTATATAAGTCTTTGTATAAAAAAAAATTTACTTTCACATAGAAAATACATAGAGGATGTACTCAAGACTAGAGGACTGAGGAAAAGTCTTAATTTTTTGGAAAGATTACATATTTCTGTACTTAGAAAAGCAAGACTTACTTTAGAGAAAAACGATAAGTATGATAATGATAGTGCTAATGAGGAATATGACGGTGATAAAGAATTGAAGAGATACGGTGTATGGAGTGCAGAAGCTAAAGAATTAAATCTTCCATCATATAGGTAAAAATAATTTATTATAGAATATAATTATATATGAGTAAAAAAAAAATAATTAAACGTATTAACAATAATAATTATCTTTTAGAGCTGCTTTTCTATTCTTGTCGCGTGTTCCATTAGATGTGGTACATGAATTTTTGAGAATGAGATTAGAACAAAAGCCAGAACAACCAAGTCCATTGTCGGTACGTCAATTGATGCGTGAATTACGAGAGGGACTTAGGATTGCTTGTATACATCGAGATAGATTTTCTGCTCATTCTCGCGCTGCCATAGCCAGTGATCCTTTCGCATGTAATACTCTATTCGAGGCCGACGTGAAGGAATTCGATGAGAGCCTGAAAGCTGTTTTTGAAGTTTATTTAAATTATTTGCAACAATGGGTAGATATGGTTCAGCATGATAGCTTTCATAAAAATTTAATAATGGACGAATGGACCTTCGTTAAATCTATTGCTGGAAATATTATTGACGGATATAAAATAGCTGGAGTTAAATTTTGGTAAATAACATTATGTATGTATACGAATAGATATGTATTTTGATTTTATTTATTACTTTTTTTTTTTTTCTTTTTGTTTTTTTTTTTCAGCGAAATTGCCAGGACAATGATTATACAAGTTAAAGAATTTCTCGTGGAACGACCTAAGGAGATCAAGGAATGCGTGGATGACAGAGAAGATGATGATGAATGGTCAGGCAAGTAAGAGAGGATTCATTCGTTAAACTGTGAACTGTTTTGTAAATATTTGTTCCATCCTAATACATGGTTCAGATTTCATTTGATGTATGTGGGACGCGAATGGCAAGGAATGTTTGTGGAAGCTCGGGAAAAGGTTGTCAAGAGTGTTACCTTGGCTAAATGTTTAAAGCGTGACATTGAAAAATGGCCAGCACTTAATAAAGAGTTAGAAGAATCTTTGATAGCATTGAAGGTAAGAAATAATAATATATATATATATATATAATAGAACATTTTTTTTCTTTGATTATTATTAAGGAAAATTATAATTATTTATTTAGGAAATAGTTATGGATTTGAGATGTCGTATAACGATAGTAATCGAGGAATTTCAAAATGATCTTAATCAAGCAGAAGAACCTAAAGCTGAATCTGATCGTACGGCGATACGTTCACGTATCAGGGAAATACTTCATCAGGCATATAGAATGGGATTCGATTATCACAAAGAGATGTGTAATTTATTTTTGTCAGAAGAAAAAGCTGTTCTAGCACGTGGCCTAGTATCCTTCGCATTTCTTTGGATGGAATTTGTAAGAATCAGATGTGAACGTGGTAGAGGCTTGAGACCTAGATGGGCAAATCAAGGATTAGAATTTTTGATAATAGTTTGTGAGCCTCATTATACTAAACATTTAACTGACGAAGAATTTGAAGAATTAAAAACATCGATGGATAGTTGCATTTCCCATGTCATTGGAACGGCATCTGTATCATCCTCAGAAATAGATAGTAAATAATTTTTTTTTTTTCCTCCCACATACTTTCTATTAAAACTTATTAACGCACTTTTTAGCCTTGAAAAGATTACCTCGATCAAGAGCATCCTCTCCATCTCATTCTCGTAGCAAAACAGCAAGTATAAGTACCTTACAAAAGACACGAGATATTTTAAAATCCCCTGAACTTTTATTGAATACGAGAAAATCAATTTCACCAAACATAATTGACGGTGGTATCCTTGTTGTAAATTCAAATATGCCTAGACAAGATAGAATAGTCAAAGCCATAAAAAAAGTGGATCGTAATATCGATGAGAGATTGAAAAATCATGAACTCATTGGTCAAGTAACCGACATGAAGGCTGTTGATAGAGTTCATATAAAAGCTAGACGAGTGACGTTTACTTGGCAAAGAGGAATTAAAATAGGTATGATTCTAAAGCGTATAGAAAATCTATTAAAATAATATTTATTTTTCTATATAATATATTATTTAAAGGCCAAGGAAGATTTGGAAAAGTATATACCATAGTAAATAATCAAACTGGTGAATTATTAGCAATGAAAGAGGTACAATTACAACCTGGTGATCATAGAGCAATTAGAAGAATAGCAGAAGAACTTCAGATCTTTGAAGGAATACAAAATAATCATCTAGTTCGTTATTATGGTTTGGAAATTCATCGTGTAAGAAATCGTACATGAAATTACATATATAACACGTAAATCTATTTAATAAGAAATGATTTATAAATATATATATATATATTTTTTTTTTTCTTTTTTACAGGAAGAGATGTTAATATTTATGGAATTCTGTGCAGAGGGAACATTAGAAAGTTTAGTAGCCGGAAGTGGAAATGGTTTGCCTGAATCTTTAGTTAGAAAGTACACACATCAACTTCTTTTAGCTGTAACAGCTTTACATTCCCATGGTATTGTACATCGTGACATTAAAAGTAGGTAAATATGATATTTAAAATAGCATATATATTTCAAATATAATGTAATAATTTGATTCATTTCATAGCTGCAAATATTTTTTTGACAAATGAGGGCAATTGTTTAAAACTTGGTGATTTTGGTAGCGCGGTGCAAATAAAAGCGCATACTACAATGCCTGGTGAACTTCAAGGATTTGTTGGGACTCAAGGTTCATATGTCATCTATATTCGTTTAAAAAATGATATTTTATTAATTATATAATGATTTATATTTTAGCTTATATGGCACCAGAAGTATTTATGAAGACTGAAAGTATTGGACATGGTAGAGCAGTAGATATATGGTCTGTTGGTTGTTGTATCGTTGAAATGGCTAGTGGACGTAGACCCTGGTCAGAATATGATTC